TTTTCTTCAAAACAGAGTCTAAAGTACTTTTCTTTCTATAGGACTACAAGTGATCTGCCTGAATCTGTTTAATATTTTTAATTCCTATGTATTAGCCGGAAGTGTTTCTCTTTTATCAAAAATTGTAAAACTTGGCATTGTGGTGAGCCTGGTGACCATTTAACTTTGTACAGGAAAGCAAAAGGACAAGGAGTCTCTATTCTATACTTTCGTTTTCACTAAACGTTGTCATGCAAAACCAATTGAATAGAGGAACGAGAAGTATATGTAATTATATCATCACTGACTTTAGTCTTCTGATGTCGGTGGATTAACCCAACCCTGAAATTTTAATTGTAACGAAGGACAATTATTGAAGACCCACAGAGAAAAAAAAAGAGGGAATAATTATTGAATATTATTTACTGTGTTATTTTATTTTAGTGGGTGTAATCTTCTGTTATTATAGGAGTTTTGATGAACTGACTACGGCAAGCAAAATTGATTGAGCATTTCTACTATACTTCTAAATATCTTTTATAATTTGTGACTCCCCATAAAAAATATAATAAAATTTTTGTTAAAATATTAAATTCGAAGTTAAATTAGTTTATAGAATTATAGTGATATTTCAATAAATAAATTTGCAAATTTTAATATTTACAAAATTTTTTATTCTCAAATTATGATTTTTTAAAAAGAATTTAAATAAAAATATTTTATGTAATAAAAATTACAAAATAAAATTAAAATATTTTTTTTGAATATTTAATTAATCATGAACTTACATATATATATATATTTATATTGAGATAAAGGGATTTGAAGTAAAATTAGCTATCCCTCACATTACTTCTCCAACCAACTCATCCCCTTTGAATTGGTCATTACAATTTTTTGTCAAAATTCCATGCAAGGCTTCTCATATCAAGTATTAATTGTTGAGATATGAAAGTCCAAAGCTTAGTGAATAGTCGAAGAAAAATTTGCATATGGGATGAAGCACACGCTAAAGAGAAAAAAAGTGGACAAAATCGAAAATTTTGATATGATATAATGTTTAAGCAACTCACTTTCTCACACAATCAGATGTTATAAAAATTTAAATGAAAAATCGACAATTTTGATATGATATATTGTTTAAATAACTCACTTTTTTACATGAATAGATGCTATAAAAAATTAAATGAATTATCTTATGCATTACTTCATTAATTACATAATAATTTGGTGAAATGGAAAATAGAATGCATGTAAATATTATCTCTTTCATAATGAAATTCCAATGTTTTGTGGTTGACACAAAAAACAAATATTTAATTCTTAAAATAAAAAAAAATATATTTAATATTTGTGTAGGTGCTTGTCTGTCAGAGACTAGGACTGTTCTGTCCTATGTTTCCTGACATATTTTTAAAGTAGTGTGGGAAACTCTCAACCAAAAAACAAAATCAATAATACATGACCGATATTGAAGTTGACATGAATTTGTCATTTTTTATTCGTCAAACCAATCAACAGAGAATTTGACGTAAACTTGAGAAAAGCTGACATGAAACATCTTCAGAATTCAACGACAGTAAATCTATCCACAAATTTTTTTGAACAAATATATCGCTACTAAATCCTAAATAATATATATATATATATTTTATTAATTTTATCATATCCAATCATGATAATTTTAGTAGAACTAGTTAGAAAGGATAATAATTAAAAATCCCAAAGTCATTGATTTCATTAAAAGAAGAATCATTGAAAGGACAATTATTAAAGATCCAAAAGTCATTGATTTCATTAAAAAAAAAAACATCGGTAATAAAGATTAAAAACAGTTAACGTACGTAGAGATTATATTTGATAGAATATATTATTAGTATATAAATTTTATATATTATTAATAAATTAAATAATATTAATTAATTATTAAGAATTTTTTTAAAAATTTAATTTAATTTATTTATTTTAAAGGTTAATAAAAAGTTATATTTAATTATTAATAAAATAATATTATTTAATTTGTTAATAATATATAAAATTTATATATTAATAATATATTAAATATAAATTCAATTAAGATTTATACAATACGAGATGAAATTAAGTTTTTTTTTAAATAACACAATTAATGGTATTTTAAGTTTTATCTAAATCTAATTTCTTTTTTTTTTCAAATAATATATAAAATGTATTTTTTGACTTCAATTAAATACATTCAAAATTTTATTTTTAAAATACTTTCAATAAACATCAAACTTTTAATTAACAAGTAAAAAAAATTATCATTTAGATTAATCTTTAATTTTTTCAGTATTTACTCATGATTTTACATTATTAAATATCAATTTCTACATCTTTTTCAATTGTCTTTAGATTTTTTTTTTCGATTTGTAGCACAAATTAAGCATAAACCCAAAGCTTTCAATAACACAAAAACAATGTGGAATTTGTCTTGCTCTTGAATATCATAGAAAAAATTTTTAAAAAATTTTTTTTTCTCTCAATAAGCAAATAACTTAGAAGAGTAAGCTAGAATGAAATATTTTTGTTTTGCTATGCAACCGACAAATATATAATGAAATATATAATCATTTAAAAAACTGCAAAATTAATAAGAAATATTTGCAGCCTAGCCATAATGCTCTTAAATTTTCCATTAAACATGGTCACTAGAAAATTAAAGAAAAAAAAAAAGGCATTTTAAAATTGAATAGTAGTTAACAGGCTACCTAATATTAATAATTTAATTCCATAGAGAAGTTGCCTCGTCTTTTCTTGTTTTATTTGCATTTCTCCTGCTTCATGAATGAGTAAATCCTTGATCCTTTCAATGGCGAAGGACACAAAAGCCTCTGCCATTTCTCTTTATTCAAAAGTTGTGTACCTTTGTCTTTGTGGTGGGTCTGCTTACTATTATTACCGTGTTTATTCCATCATTTCTTCACTGTCTTTAGTCTTCTGATGTTGGTGGATTAACCCAACCCTGATAGTAGCGAGGACAATTATTGAATATTTTACACTGTATGTTTGCTATGCAACCAACAAATGTTACGTACTACAGAGGTATTTGGCATGCTTAACAAACTTTATGCAAAGAGAAGGGTGTTCTGGGCCTATACAAGGGACTTGGAGCAACACTTTTAGGTGTTGGACCCAGCATAGCAATTAGCTTTTCAGTATATGAGAGCGTGATGTCTTTCCGGCAGTCACAAAGGTGATTACTCCTCTTGTGATGATTGTTTCATAGATCATCCTTTTCTAAGCATAATTCCTTTATCCTTTTTATAATTAACTTTTTATCAGGCCCCATGATTCCACGGTCCTGGTTAGTCTATTTTGTGGCAGTCTTTCAGGGATTGCATCATCAAAAGGTTAGCTTTAGGCAAAGTCAATTATAGAATCACAACTCATAAAAAAAAAAAAAAGAAAGCCAAAGAAATTACTAATCCAATCTGCAAAATTGTTCCAAAATGTAGTTGGCATATTGGAAGAAGCACACATTGGAGAAAAAAGAATGTGGGCAAAATTCAAAATTCTGATCTGATGTAATGTTTTTGTTGGATTTGTCTCAGCTTGTTACAAAAACAAGACTTCATTCGGATCTAAAGTCCCCAGAAGCTTGGGAGCCCATTAGCAGGCTGTTGAAAAGCATAGAGAGTTTGCCTCACTTGGATGCTGTTGTCAATGGCACAAACATAAATGTAGGTAGAAGTATATGCGCATAGGAAGATTCAACCTCATTTCTTGATTAATCTCAAAAAAAATGTTCACTGTCATATAAGAAACAACTCATGGTAGGTATGCCTGACTCAATTTCATAACCACAAATAATGTTTCAAAGGAACAATAGTCACTTAATGGCTCGATTCATAAGAAACAACTCATGGTAGATTATCCCTTCATTGAAGTCATTAGGACGTTGAAAGAGCAATATGTTCCTCCTATAATTAAGTTGTTTAAAGCACTTGAACTGTAATCAATCCCCCAGCACACTTGTTTTTTTATGAACTTCAAAAGCATTTATGATGTTTTCCATCACATGGATATTAAATTTTATAAATCTAAGAAAACATATCTAAGCATGTTTCTAACTCAAAGCAATTACCATGACTGGCACATGTTCCATCAAGCGTCAAAGTCATGATAAAGCCAATTAAATGATAGATACAAATTAAAGCAAGCATTAAAGCCTATAGAATAACATGTAAAGGTTAACCGAAAGCATTCATGTTTTAAAGCACTTGAATTCTTTTCATCCATTCTAATTTCATTTCTTGGAAAGCCATAATATGCCTCAAACCTTCTCGAAACATCCTCAATTTTGAAAAATTATATGGTAAAAATCAAGACCAATAAACTAAATTAACAAATAATCATGAAAATTATTTTATTTTTTTATGCTAAATTTTCTAATTATTTAGACATATGCGAATATCTTAATTCTTAAATTTTTTTAAAGGTTTGGAGACAAGTGGGTTTCTAATATGATATTTTATGTTCATTTTTTATTTCTTATATTTTAAAATATTTCTATTATTTAAAGTTTTATGGTTTTAATTTTATTTTATTTTTCTTAATTATTTTTATTTTTTCAGTAAATATCTCAAAATTTCTTTAAACTTATACATTGTTTGTCAAAATATTTTAAAATAATTTCATAAATAAGAAAAAGAAACTATATTGATAGTGATTAAAAAACGGATATAGATGGATCGATTGGATCTGTTGATTAAAGTTTTGTGGCCCTATTTGTCAATAAAAAGCCCATCAGACATTATTTTAAACCAAAAAAATCAACCAAGTAGGCCCATTATTAACCCAAACCATGTCAACCTTGCTGGAAAAACAAAAAGAGATGGACGCGTGAAACTAAGCTCTCCCAAACGCGCGTGCCAAGATTGAGAGAGAGCTCCCAGTACCAGTAGTGTACTTTCCTTCCCTCGTCATCTCCATTTCTTGCAAATTACGTCAAAACGCACCGTTTTCTCCATTGAAAAAGAATTCCCCAGTTATTTCTTAAAAAAAGCACTCTTCCTGTTAATTTCTCAGTTCGATCTCTTATTTTCAATGGAGGAATCATCGTATTCAAATCTTGCTACAACTCATTTACTCGGCTCAGTTCCCGTAAGCTGCTTAATATTTTTTTCCTTTATATTTTCAGTTAATTTATAGCGTTTTATTTCATTTTTATTGAATCAAATCATCAAGATCGACGTTTTTCATGTGAATTAATTTCAAATTTCATTCGACACTCAAGCTGTTGTCAATGAAGAAAAGAAGGCCTCGTATGCAGGTACTATTCGTTTTATTTTCAGTGTTTGGAAAAGTTTGTTTGTTTAGAGTAATTGCGAATTTGTTTTTATATATTTATTTTGAAATGGTGCAGTTCCTGGAGCGAATATGCAAATTTTCCCGCCAAATAATGGTGGTGGAGGAGGTGGCGGCCGAGGTTATCAAACTCTTGGAGCTCCAACTGGTATGTTCTTTTTTTTTTTTATTTCTTTTAATTTATTTTCTTGCCATATAAGAAAAACTTTGTTAAATTTATCGGTCTTTCTTTTTCTTACTCTGTACTTTTATGATTAGAAAGTAATTATTTTCGCTATTGATGTGATAAAATTGAAAATTCTGCTATATTTGCAATGATTAATGGCTTAATGAGTTATTCTTAATAAAAAAAAGTCTTAAAGAATGGTTTAGTAAGGAAACTTTGTTCTTCACAAATAGATAATAACTGAAGGAGAGAGAAACTTTCAAAATCATGACACCTACTGTTAAGATATGGAGATTTGGTCATTGAACTGAAAGGTTTTACTTATTGGAAGTGACATCCGGTATGCTAGGGAAATTTAGCGAGGAAGGTTGTTATTTTTTATGCACTTTAAGTTTGAATGAATAGTGTACATTGCAATTTACTCTTATGTTTTCCTTTATGGAATAGTTACCTGTTATTTTCATAGTTACTAATTTCTTTATGTGGAATGGAGTCCATGGTGAATATTGTTAAAAGGATGTTATGAAATGAACCTTCTCCTGATGCATATATCCTTTTGGTGGTTCTGTTTATATTTTTGATCTTTCCTTGAGCATTCTCTCCTTGTTTATTTCATTGTGTGTTTGTGTGTGTCTCTTCTTAGGAATGTAGAGTTGTAGACTAATGATTTCGCATCCACATTCTAAAACGCCTAAGAATATTGTGGCCGAGTTACTGGTGTCGCAGTTAGATGTAGTTCATGATGGTAATATTGTGATGCTTTTATTTAGTGTTGTTGAAGTAACCTTAATGTTTAATGATCCCTTTGTCTATCATATGCAGAAGTATTTGAACAACAACCACCAAACAACTGGAAGGGAGTGTTTAGTATCTCGTCATACACGCAGTATTTTAATGTGGATATAGATGTTGTCATAAACAGATTGATAAGTTCCTTTTATCCTGTTGGTGGAGATTTTTTCAGCAAGATTGATGCTAACCCTGATCTGTGAGTATGCTCCCCCCCCCCCCCCCCCCCCCACAAAACCCAAAAAAAAAATTTCTTCTTCTGCCACCATTGTATCATAGAACGAGACATTCTATAATATGGATGAAAAAGCTGCTTTTGTCAAAGCTTCATCATTCTATTTTTGGAATGGAAGTTACCCTTTAGAGGAGAAAAATTTATTTTCTTGTGTTTTAGACCTAATAAAAGCATATTATCTCTAGTCAATATAATTGAGATGAAAAGTAGGATTGAAAGCACTCAAAGCATCCATTTACCTAGGCATTCTTTCATTTGCAAGAAACAAGCTTTTTGGAAGTCAAGACCTGAATTCACTTGTCTTATTCATAAACTTACTGAGTTAGAAAGTTTAGTCATTTGGTTCTTTATTTTGACATGAATTGTTACAAGAAGGAAAACTGCAAGAAGCATTAAAGGAAGCATACTAACCATGAAACAAGGCACCTGTAGCTCAGTAGATAGAGCGTCTGTTTCCTAAGCAGAAAGTCATAAGTTCAACCCATACCTGGTGCGTGCTGATTTATTTGATTTACTGATTCTCTTGTGTAAGTTCTTAGTCATTTCAAAGAAGTACTCAGATTGAGGTTAACAACAGGGTTGCCTCATTTAACCACAGATTGTGTTAATAACAACATTTTGCATAGCTTTTGGTTTTGATGTAACAATATTTCAATTTCTTTTGGATACATAAAATCACCTAATTATCCAAAAAGAAAGCATACTAAACATGATTAGTGCATGTGGTTTTTATCTAAAGGGAATAAAGGCCAGCAGTAATACAAAAGATACACGCATGCATCAGTTGCACGTTTATTGCATCGTTGTCTATAATTCTTATCCTAGTCCTACCCTTTTCATTTGTGGTCAATTGGTCTTCTTTGCAAGTAGACTGATAAAAGGAAGCCATTTTTAAGAAAGAAAATAGGAAGACAAGATAGATAGAATCCTTTGATCTTAATAATTTTATGGAAGTTAAAGTACACTAGAATTTTGTACTTAGTTTGTATTTTTATAGTTTGTATTTTTAGCCTTTTATTTTTCTTATACAAGAGACTCTCAATGAGTTGTTTGAAAGGGAGATCATGGATAGTCTGCCTTCAACCAAAGGATATTTTCTCGTAAGTCAATCAAGGTATTTTTTAATGTATAATGCTAGGATACAAGCAGTAAATTCTCTTCTGATGGCTTTCTAAAAGTAAGAGGGTACATGTTCCTTGTTTTGTCTCCATGAGAAAATTGAATTTCTTATTGCAATGATGTAATGAAATATACATCTGATTATGTGGAAATCTTGACGATGTAACAGCTGCAACTAGATAGTGGGAATCAATGTGCAGTTATTTTCATGATTATTTATTAATTTAGTTTATTGGTCTTGATTTTTGCCATATGTTAGGTATGGGCTTATTTGGGTCACAGCTACTTTAGTCTCTGTCCTCAGGATTGGTTTGCAAAGCTGGCTTTCCTTATTTCAAAGACTGATCAGAAAGGCCAACAGTTGCAAGGTCTGTTGGTACTTGGTAGCATGGTCTTTTTTAAGAGTGTTAGAATTTTTAGTTTTAATGATCAAAGGCCAAATCTTGACAGCTTCAAGTTATTAAAAGAAAAAAAAAAGAAACTCCTCAGGAAGGCATCTAGGCCTTCCTTTCTTTTCTTCTTTTCGCTTCTATTAATTACTTATTGATGCAAAAATTGTAGTAAAGCAGCATTCAATCTATTTGGGCTGATGGTAATAACAAATCAAAATTGCATCAGTAAATGTGATATTCCTTTCCATGTTTTCTTAACTTCAGCTTTGAATTTGATGCTTACTTTTTTTTTGGATATGCATATCTGAATAAGCTCTAACAAATCTCATTGCAAGCATGCTCCAAGTCTTTTGTTTCTGAAGACATCTTGATTTATAGTGGATTTAGGAGTCAAACAAAACACCCAGAAGTTCTTCTGACATCCTACATTATTTTGCTTGAAGAATTTTGAACAAAATACGTATGCAACCTAAATACAGCTTGGATTTTGCTGTTATTGCCAGTTTCTCAACTATTTTCTTTTCCAGGAAAGTTCAAAAGCATTTCTGCTACTGATCTTTCTGTTATTGGACATGAAAATTTTCAATCAATCAAGAATTACTTTTAAATCTCCTTTTGTATTAACTTAGCAGTTTACAAGCAATGATGTTTATTAGTGAAGATAAACAGTGAAACAAATTCAGTAAACAAGAAAAAAGTTTTTAAAAAGAAATAAAATTCAAAAAATAAAATTATCTGTAGCTTATCATCAACACATGGATAATCTCCATAAACTGCAAATTTAAAATCAATTAACAGCCTGTTCATTAAAGCTCATAGCAATTCATTTCCTCGAAGCACTTGATCATCAGAATCAACCATCAAGGAAGAAAAGAAACAGATCACGCTTTGAAACAACCAAAAAGCAAAGCGAAGTGAGCCCACCTCTCCTTGCTCTTATTGGCGCGATTTCTTTTCATGATCAAACAAAGTATCCAACTCCGCCTCCTATCAGTGCCCATCTTATTATACCTACACCAAGATGAAAATGGCATATATCATCGTCTCTTATGGAAAGGAAATAATATATATATATATATATATATATATGAATATTTATAGCCCCAAATGAAAAACGATAGAGATTATTGTTTTAGAAAAAAACAAATAACTCACCTGCGAAATTAGAGTTTTCATTCATTATCCATAGTTTCAAATATTTGGATGGCGGGTATGTGGCTGACTTTAGAGAAATCCTCTCCTTCTCTTCCGTCTATCACTTGAGTCCTTTCTACCAATGAACTCCCCATAGACTTTAATTTCATTTCTTGGAGAGTAGCAATGTACCTCAACCCTTCCGGAATCATTCTCAAATGATTTAAACGAGCCAAAGATAAACTCCGGAGACGTGGCATTGCGCCTTCTTCAATCTCCCATTTTTCTAGTTCTGATAAAAAATCAATTTCAAGAGAATCAAGTTGAAGAAACCTTTCGGAAGAGCAAATCAGTTTAGTCCCCATGTATACATTCCACCGTAAGCGGAGAGTCCTCAAATGAGGCAGCTTTTCCAGTACAGCCATTGGATCCTGCTTCACCTCAGATCCCTCCAAAGTTAACTTGACAATGTTTGCAGGAACAAATTTCAAAACATGATGCCTCGATTGCGGATCTTCTTCTATCTTTCTTGGTAAGAATAGTTTTGAGAGGTGAAGATACTGAGAAAGGGGTTCCCGGTCTGGAAATGATCGGCTTGAATCCCATAAAAACCTCAATTCCAATGACCGAAGGCGATGTGATTGGATCAGTTCTTTGAGGATAGGCTCAACATCTTTTGATATCCTAAAACATATTCCTAAACTCTGAATATTAGCCAAGCCCAACACTGCATTATTTTCAATTAAATTCTCAGCCTCAATGCACTTTAAAGTTTCAATATTTTTTGAAATAATCCTTGGCGGCATCCACAATTCAGTACAGAACGAAAAATTCCCACAATAATTAAGTAATAAAATATGCCTTAAACGTTCCATATTGAATAGAGTTCTAGAATTTATTGTTAATCCAATACTTTGGACGTGCAAAGTGTGTAAATTCTTCAACTTCCCAATATATCGTGGCAAGATGATTTTTCCATAACATTTTAACCCCAAATATCTCAAATGATGTAGATCAACAATTCCACTTGACACACGCCCTTTTCTGTTCCTTTTCACAACTTTCAAGACTTTTAAATTTTTGAAGTTTTTGCATTTTGAAATGTGCAATTTTATCAATTCCTCATTTTGAAAGAGCAACAAAGAACGTATTTTTGGATGTTCTCCCTTCAAAGATACATACCTCTTGGTAGGATGAATAGCAATTCTTCGTGGCATAGACGTCGATAAAGTCACATCATTTGGCTGAATAATTTCCAAGAAATTCTCCTCTTGAGCTTTCTCCGAGCACAAGTCCCTCGAGAGATCATGTATGTGACAAGTTTTCACACCTACTCCTGTATAGTCCCTCTTGCTAACTTGAACCAAACATCTATTTATCAGCTCTTCCAGGAATTGTTCAGCAACATCTTCCATTAACATTCCTCCGCTTTCAAGTGATGGTGAAATGAAACCTTCAGCAATCCATAATCGAACGAGTTCCTTCTTTGAGATCTCCCAATCTTCTGGATAATGACCAAGATATAAGAAGCATGGTTTTAAATAATAAGGCAAATCGTTGTAGCTTAAAACCAAAATTCCATTCACTGCACTATATTGATGGTCTTGTTGTTGGACCTTGTTCAAGTATGCATGCATGTTTCTTTGAACCATCTCCCATTGAGCCCGTGATTTTTTAGTTGCTAGCAAGCCTCCCAACGCAACAATCGCAAGAGGTAGCCCTCCACATTTTTTCACCATCTGTCTTCCTAGCGTCTCGAAAAATTCTCCTGAGCCAGCATCAGACTCCGTTGTATTTCTAGGGAATGCTTTCCTCTTGAAAAGCTCCCAACTTTTATCATCAGTAAGAAGTGGAAGCTCTATTGGGGAGCTGCAAGGATTTGCACGTAATGCCACATCCTTATTTCGTGTTGTGAATAAAATTTTGCTCCCTTTTTTTCCTCTTGGAAAAGCAGGTTTAAGACTATTCCAATCTTCACTTCTCCAGATATCATCAAGGACTACCAAATATTTTTTTTCTTTCAAGACCTCAAAATGTCTTTTGATCAACTCATGCTCGAGCATTTTACCAATTTGCTCTCTTTCTTCTTTAGAAGGAGAATGAACTTTTATGAGGACATCATGCAAAACTTCTTTGGCATACATTTTTGAGAAATAAAAGCCCAAGCAAAACAATCAAAATGTCGTCTCACATCGATGTGATTGTATACTTTTTTTGCAAGAGTGCTTTTACCTATGCCCCCCATTCCGACTATGGAAACAACGACTTGAGGTCTATCTTCTTCTTCTGTCATCAACTGAGCCAAAACATTCCTTGTCATGTCCTCCAAGCCAACAACATTCACTTCCTCAACATGCGAATATGTTCTTCTTAACCGCTGCTGCTGCTGCATTCTAGAAATAAAGCTAGAGTCCTCTTGTTCACCAGATATCTCATAAGCTGGAAGACTCTTGGAAATATCTTCAAGCTTAGTCTGGATTGCTTTGACCTGCACCCCTATTTTGTGCAGATGAAAAGGCTTGGTGAAAATGGAGGTGAATCTTCCGGTGATTCCATGAAAGCCTCCCTGATGTGCAACTTTAAGAATGAAGGTGTCAATAACATCTTCAGCATCGTAAGCAAGATCTCTTATTTCCGCCACGCGATTGCGGAGACGTCCGTCTTGTTCTTGCTTATGGTCAGCGTCTTTCAAGAAGCACTGCATCCGCTTTAGTTTAACCTTTAGGCGCTCCACTTCGTCACGAACTCCTCCCAGGTAAACTGCTTCATGAATAAGTAAATCCGAGATCCTTAGCCATTCGCTTACATAATTAAGTCTCAATTTCTTCCAACTTTTTCAAATGTCATTAAATTTATTTTTTTCAATTACAACACAAAAATTGTGGAATATGTCCTGTCCTTGAATATCATAACCAAATTGCATCTTTTTATTTTTTTTTTTTCTCAATAAGCATATAATATAGAATAGTAAGATAGAATGAACAAAAATAATCATTTGAAAGACTATAATTTTATTAAGAAATATTTACCCTCATGCATTTTGCATTAAAATGATCACTGATTATTGAATATTGTTTACTTTGTTACTTTGTTTAAGAAGGTGCAATCGTCTGTTTATACTTATATTGGAGTTTTGATGAACTGATAATGGCAAGCAAAATTGATATATCATTTCTACGTTACTCCTATATATATATATATATTTTAATTAGTGATTCACATAAAAAATTTAGATAAATATATTAAATTCAAAATTCAGTTTAATTGATTTATATAATTATTAGTGACATTTCATTGATTTAAATTCAATAGAAATATTAAAATATTTTTTATTCTTAAATTACTTTTTTTTTTAAATGAAGTAGAAATATTTATGTAACAAAAAATTATAGTGAAATTAAAATATTTAATTAATCGTCAACTTAGACATATATATATATATAATATTATATTTGAGACAAAGATATTGGAGTAGAATAAGCTATCCCACGCATTACTTCTCCAACCAACTCCTCCCCTTTGAGTTGGTCTTTACAACTTTTGTCAAAATTTCAAGCCAAACTTGTCTTGCAAAAGCATTAATTGTTGAGATACGAAAGCCCAAAGCTTAGTGAAAAACAGAAGAAATGACTCAACCGAGCTCCTATAGTAGGTTCCATAATATAGTTTGATTATGGGATGCAAGCACACTCTAGAGAAATATAAATGTGGGCAAAATCGAAAGTTTTGATCTCATTGTAATTAATTAAGCAATTCACTTTCCTAAACGAACAGATGCTATAAAAAATACATAACTGTCTTTTGGATTACTTCCATTGCTACAACAAGCTATACATAATAATTGGATGAATGGAAAAACTATGTAGTTGTTCGCATTCAAAATAAATTCCAATTTTTTTTTTAAAACCCCAAAAAAAGAAATATTCTTACATATAAAAAACTATGTATATTAATCTTATGTATAGTGCTTTCTTGTCTAGGCAAGACCTTACTGTCGTTTGGTTCTTAGAAGCTCTTTCTAAAATTTCTTCTCCCACTGATACTTTTTAACAGTAGTGTGGAGTACTCCCACTTGTTTAAAAAGAAATCAATAATACATGGCCTACATTGAAACTGACATGAATTAGTCATCTTTTTTTATCAAATCGATCTTTAGGAAATTAGTGGAAATTTGGAGGAAGCTCATATGAAACTTCTTCAGAGTTCAACAAAAGGGTAAATTATGAAATTAAAATAAATAAAATAAAAAGCTTAAAAGATTTCAACCAATTCCTTTTAATTGCCATGTTATTGTTATTGGTAACAACTAATAAACCTTGATGTTTAGTAGTGATTATGACTGTCAAATAATTAAATTTTTACGGACTATCTGATAATTTCAAAATTTTAGACCTCTTATCAAAAAACTATTTTTATCCAATACTTGCCTTCATTATGGCCTAAAGGAAAAATACCCTGTTAATCTCAGACCTTTTATCAAAAAGAGGACGAACCATTATTAAATATTTTTTTTATTGTGTTACTATGTTTTAAGAAGATTCGATCAGGAAGAACTAAGTGAATGTAGGAATATCTCACTTTCTTTTAATCTCCAAGAAATTAATATTTATGGATATTTGCAGCCTAGCCATGCATTTTCCATGAAACATGACCACTGAGTATAGAAAGTAGAGGAAAAAAACATTTTAAAGTTGAATAGAAGTTGACAGGCTACGTACTATAGATATTCCAGTCCCATAGAGAATTTGCCTTCTCTTTTTCTTGTTTTATTTGCATTGGACACGGTCTAAGGGCAGACCATATGGAAAGTTAAAAAAAAAAACATTTAATGTTATATAGTTAACATAAATACTAATAGCGCAACTTCCAAGTAATTTACTGACAACAAATA